TGGGGGATTTTTTGCGAATTTTTTGTCATATTTTTGTGGATTTTTTTTTATTTTTAAATGATTTTTTATTATTCTTAGGAAATTTTTTGGGGGAGTTTTTGAGATTTTTTAAAATTATTTTTGGTGATTTTTTGTGGATTTTTGTGATTTTTTTTTACTATTTTTAACGATTTTTTAACGTTTTTTTAACGATTTTTTGTGATTTTTTTCAGGGAATTTTTTAGGATTTTTTGGGGTCCCCCCCAAATTTCCCCCCAACCTTGTGCCCGCATCCTGGGGGCGCCGTGGAGCTCTCGGGGACCCCCAAATTTGGGATTTTTTGGAGATTTTTGGCCGATTTTTGGGGGTTTTTTTCAGGGATTTCTTTGTGGATTTTTGGGAGATTTTGTTGTGATTTTTGGGTGAATTTATTTTTGATATTTTGGGTGATTTTTGTGGATTTTTTTGTGATTTTTAAATGATTTTTTGGGAATTTTTGGGTGATTTTTGGGTGATTTTTTTGAGATTTTTCAATGATTTTTTGGGGGATTTTTTCGTGATTTTTTGTGATTTTTTTTGTGGATTTTTTGTGATTTTTTTAGGATTTTGGGGGATTTTTTGTGAATTTTTTGTCTTTTTTTGTGGACTTTTTTAATTTTTAATTTTTTTTCATTATTCTTAGGAGATTTTTGGGGGAGTTTTTAAAATTATTTTTTGTGGATTTTTTGAGGATTTTTTTGGATCTTTTAAATGATTTTAAATGCTTTTTTTACGATTTTTTAATGATTTTTAACGACTTTTTTTACGATTTTTAAATGATTTTTAACGACTTTTTTTACGATTTTTTAACGATTTTTTAACGATTTTTTGTGATTTTTTCAGGGAATTTTTTAGGATTTTTTGGGGTCCCCCCCAAATTTCCCCCCAACCTTGTGCCCGCATCCGGGGGGCGCCGTGGAGCTCTCGGGGACCCCCAAATTCGGGGCCGGCCCCCCCCCCTCTTTCTCCGTCCTCTCCTGCAGCTTCCGATTCACCTAAAAAACAACCCCCAAAAAATTCCGGTTTTTTCCCTTTTTCACCCCAAAAAAAAAACCCCCAAACCCCCCCAAATTTCAACTCACCGTCTCCAGCCAAGCCAAAATTTTGGGTTCCCAGGATTGGGGTCCCGGGGGGGCTCCTGGGGGGGCCCCCAAATTTCGGGTGGCCTCGGCGACGAAGGCGGCCATGAGGGAATCGATCAGCGCCAGGTGGGCGCCCTGGCGGATTTGGGGGAGAATTTGGGGTTTTTTGGGGAAAATTTGGGGAAAAAAATGGGGGTTTTGGGGGAAATTTGGGGTTTTTGGGGGGAAAATTGGGGTTTTTGGGGGGAAAATTGGGTAAATTTTGGGGGTTTTGGGGGGAAATTT